AAATACCTCACCAGATAAGATATACAGATGGCAAAGAAGCATATGAAAAGATATGGGACATTATATGCCATCAGGGAATTTCAAATAAAAACAATGAGATGCTACTACATTAAATGGACCTATTAAATGGACCAATAACAAGAACACCACAATACAAAATGCTGGAGCAACAGGAATTTTATTGATTGCTAGTGAGAATGCAGAATGGCACAGCCACTGTGGAGGACAGTTGGGCTGTTTCTCACAAAACTAAACATGTTTCTTCCATATAATACAGCAATTAGATTCCTCATTATTTACTCAAAGTAAATGAAAATTTATAACCACATGAAAACTTGCACACAGGTCCTTATAGGAACTTTACTAACAACTGCCAAAACATGGCAGCCACCAAGATGTTATTCAGTAGGTAAATAGATAAACTGGAGTACATCTAAACAATGGAATATTATTCCATGCTAAAAGAAAATGAGCAATCAAGCCATGAGGAGACATGGGGAAAACTTAAAAGCTTAATACTAAGTGGAAAAAAAAGCCAATCTGAAAAGACTATAATACTATATAATTCCAACTATATGACCTTCTAGAAAAGGCAAACTGGACATAGTAAAAAAAAATCAGTGATTGCCAGCAGTTAGGAGGTAGAGAAGGTAAAGCACAGATATTTTTAGGGCAGTGAAACTCTTATGTATAATTATATAATGGTGGGTACATGTCATTTTACACATTTGCCCAAACATATAGAATGTATAACACCAAGGGTTAACCAACCCTAATGTAAACTATGGACTCCGGATAATAATGATGTGGTGATGTGGGTTCATCAATTTTAACAGGTGTATCACTCTGGTGGGGATGTTGATAATGGGGGAGACTGTGTACTTTGTAAGGGCAGATGGTGTTATGGTTTGGATATGAGGTATTTCCCAAAAGTTCATGTGTGAAACAATGCAAGAAGGTTCAGATGAGAAATGATTGGGTTATGAGAACATCAACCTAATCAATTAATCCCTGATGGGGTTAACTGAGTAGTAACTGGAGGTAGGTGAGGTTTGGCTGGAGGAGGTGGGCATTGGTAACATGCCTTTGGGGTACATATTTTGTATCTAGCAAATGAGCCTCTCTCTGCTTCTTGATCATCATGTGGGCTGCATCCCTCCACCATACTCTTCTGCCATGATATTCTGCTTCACCTTGAGCCCTAAGGAATGGAGCTGGCTGATTATGAACTGAGACCTCTGAAATCATGAGCTCTCAAACTTTTCCTTCTCTAATTGTTCTTGTCAGGTCTTTTAGTTGCAGTAGTGAAAAAACTGAATAACACAGGGGATATATGGGAAATTTCTATACCTTACTCTCAATTTGTCTGTGAACCTAAAAGTTCTCTAAAATATGAAGTATTTATTTTTTTTATTGTTGGTTGTTCAAAACATTACATAGTTCTTGATATATCATATTTCACATTTTGATTCAAGCAGGTTATGAACTCCCATTTTACCCTGTATACAGCTTGCAGAATCACATCAGTTACACTTCATTGCTTTACATATTAATATACTCATGTCTGTTGTATTCTGCTGCCTTTCCTATCCTCTACTATCCCCCCTCCCCTCTCCTCCCCTCTTCTCTCTCTACCCCCTCTACTGTAATTCATTCCTCCCCCTTGTACTGTTTTTCCCTTTCCCCTCACTTCCTCTTGTATGTAATTTTGTATGACCCTGAGGGTCTCCTTCCTTTTCCATGCAATTTCCCTTCTCTCTCCCTTTAATATGAAGTATTTAAATGAAACATATTAGGATGCATAATTATTCCAAAGAAATTATATACATAGTTAGGCCCTTAGAGAATTACAGGGTCTAGGTGCTGAAAATCTCAACATGCTGATGTGAGAAACCAAAGACACAAATACAAGGAGATTGTGTGTGTGTGTGTGTGTGTGTGTGTGTGTGTATCTCATTCATGAACTGGGAAAACTCAACACATTAATGATGTCAATTCCCCTAAAATGACATACAGGTTTTTAAATAATTCCTATCAAAACCCCAGGTATTTTTAGATACCAACAAGATAATTCTAACTTTTATATGAAAAGGTACAACCTCTTAGAATAGAATTATCTTTCCAAAGTAGAAGAAAGTGGGCAGAATCACCCAACCCGGTATAAAGGTTTCCTCTATACCTAGAGTAGCCATGTTAGTGTGGTACTGACAGAAGGATAAGTACATCACTGGAACAAAACACAGGACCTAGAGATAGACCTTAAATAAGATGCTCAAATGGTTTGGGAATAAAGTAGACAAACTATTATAATTGAGATAGGATAGTCTTTTAAACAAATGGCACTAGAGGAATTAGACAGCCATGGGGAGAGGGGAAGCCTGACCTAAACCTCATACCCTATACAAAAAAAAAAAAATCATGAAGTGGAGCAAGGATGTAAACCTCAAACTGTAAACTATAAAACATTTAGAAAAACAAAAAAGAAAAAATAATCTAGTGTTAGTGGAACCCTACTAAATGTAATCCATAAAAGAAAAAAAATTAAGACACTGGACTATATCAAAACTAAAAAGTTGTGCTCTGTGAAAGACCTAGTTAAGAGGATGAAAATAAAAGCTGAAGATTTGGAAACAATGTTTACAAACCACATAACTAACAAAGGACTCATATCTAAAATAAAGAACCTTAAATATTCAACAGTAAAAAAAAATCAAACAATCTCATTGGGAAATGGGCAAGACATGAACAAACATTTCACAGTAGAGGATCTGCAAATGTCAAGTAAATGACACAGTGTTAAATTGTTAGCCATTAGGAAGACACAAGTTTAAACACAATGAGATATCACTACATACATATATGAATGGGCAAAATAAAAATAGTGACAATATCAAATGCTTGCAAAGATGTCAAAAAAAACAGGGTCACTTACATATTGCTGGTAGAAATGTAAATTGTACAGCCATTTTTGCAAACAGTTTGGAAGTTTACTAAAAATCTAAACACACAACTACTATATGACCAAGAAATTGCATTCCTGGGCATTAATCCCAGGGAAACATAAAAGTTACATTCACACAGAAGCCTATACATGAATGTCGTTGGCACATTATTGCAATAGCAAAAAAAAAAAAAACCTGGGAACAATCATAATGCCTCTTAGCAGGTGAAAAAACTATACCACAATCTCACTATGGAATACTACTCAGCAATAAAAAAGGAATTAACTATTGAAACATATAATAATCTAGATGGATCTGAAAGGCACTATGCTGGGTGAAAAAATCCATCTCAAGAAGCACTCATATACTGATTCCAATTCACATAGCATTCTCATGGAGATGATAAGAGATTAGTGGTGCCAGGAGTTAGGGATAATTGCAGGGGAGAGGGGAGTATAGTAGCACAAGCCATATCTTTGTAATGGTGGTTATAATAACCTAAACATGTAATAAAATGACTTGGAAATATATATATGATATCAATGTCCATTATCTTTTTTATATTGTGTCATATGTATATAATATGTGAACATTAGGAGTAACTGGGTGAAAGGTACATGGATTCTCTTTGTACTGGTTTTTTTTTTTTTTTTGCAATTTCCTGCAACTCTAAAATTATTTTAAAACTCAATGATAAGGGCCAGGTAAGTTGCACATGCCTATAAGCCTAGCAGCTCAGGAGGCTGAGGCAGGAGTATCATAGTTCTAAGCCAGCCTCAGCAACATAGCAAGGCCCTAAGCAACTTAGCAAGACCCTGACTCTAAATAAAATATAAGAAAGGGACTGGGGCTGTTGCTCAGTGGTTAAGTGCCCCTGGGTTCAACCCCCATTACCCCCCGAAAAAAATCAATGGTAAGAATATTTACTGACTCTTAGTTGGAAACAATCAATTCCAGAAGAGAATGGGATAGTGTCTTTAATATGTCCCCCCTGAAAAATGCACGACCTAATATTCTCTATTCAACCAGATTATTTTCTTAAAAAAATGAAAGCAAAATGGAGACATTTTCAAATAAACCCAAATTGAGAAAATGTATCATGAGATCTACACTGTCAAAATTGTTAATAAAGCCAGGTGCAATGGTGCATGCCTGTAATCCCAGCAGCTCAGGAGTCTGAGGCAGGAAGATCGCAAGTTCAAAGCCAGCCTCAGCAACTTAGCAAGACCTTGTCTCAAAATAAAAAAGTATTGGGGATGTGGCTCAGTGGTTAGGCATTTCAGAGTTCAATCCTTTGCATTGTAATAGATAGAAACCTGGATCTACACAAAGAAATGAAGGGTATTAGAATGATAATAAATGATTCCAATATAATAGATATTGCCTCCTTTTTAAATTTCTTTCAAACATTGTTGATTGCTTAAAGCAAAAGGAATAACAATATAGGATTTATAACATATGTAAAAGTAAAATGTATTACAACAATATCACAAAGAATAGCAGGTAAATGGTAGCATACTTGTATATATTTTAAATACTATATGTGCAGTGGTATAACACCATATATTAATATATACTATTATATATAATATTCACAAATTTACTTGTATATATTAACATGTGTTTGTATGTATATATGCATGAATGTGTGTATGTATGTAGATAGGCATACATATGTGTATATATGTACATATGCACATATGTACATATACATACATACATGTATTCTGAGATAAGGTCCATATGTTTCACCATACAGATACTTGACAAAGATAAAATGGGCCCTACTGATGGAATTTGTTCCCACAGCAACTGTACCACGGCACCTATCCCTATTCTGAAGATGCGTCACTTTCTGCTTCAGCCTCTAGTCAGCCACTCTTGCAAAAGGTATGAAATCAGAGTTGAATTTGAATGGTGACCACTGCCCACTCTCTTCACTTGACCCATGAGGCCACTGGAAAAAGCCCAAAGACCCACCAAGGGAGATGAACATTATTCCCAGAAGTCAATAGAGCACTGCTTGTACTTTGGAACAATTGATCAACCTTGCCACTTGCACAATCTACTAGCAAAGGTTATGCAGTGCCTGAACACGATCATGGCAGAATCACTGGGCCTCATCGCCATCTGCCTTTTTGGATATCTACTCAATGCTGAATGTACAGGTTTGTTTCCTTTTTAAAAATACTCGGAATACACTTGTATTTTAGATTTAAAAATGTCTGGTGCTGTCTTCTTTGATAAATAATGATTATATGATTTGATAGATTTAACATTCTAGCAGCCAGCATGTGGGTTGATAAGTGCTGGCTCTCTGCTATCTGGGTCTTCATTTTTAAAACTAAATAGTCTTACAATGCTTTTGATGCACTTTTATTTAGTGGACACTCTTGAGCTTATGATCTTATGATGTAATTCCTCTTTGAAAATGTTTGTCTCCTTGGTTTAAAAAAAATTGGAAATAGGAAGATATCTTAACAAAGAAACAGCAGAATATGCAAAAAAGTTACTTTTTTTATTCACCATTTTAAAACCAAAATGGAAAACATCAAAACTACAAATGATTTTATTTACAAAAAAGTCTTATCTGAAGATACACAATGAGTTTCAAAATTTTAAAACTATATAATGAGGTATATCTTGAATTGTAAAAGTTATACACCATCCATTTAAAGCTTTAGTTAATACCAAAAGATTAACTTTTCATTAGTAAGTTGTTATTTGCCATGAAAGTATTTTTTTGTGGATTAGGAATAAATCATATTTTGTTTCTGATTTCATAATGTCTCAGAGTTGATATCTGATACTTAGATAAGCTCCCTAGGGGACAAAACAAGTCCACAAATTGATGAAAAGAGTAGGAACTTAGTTAATGTAATATATATCACTTTGTTTTTTTACAACTACAGTTTCTTTATATACACTCTAGGGGATGGTACACAGGGAATAACTTATTCCATTTAAGCAAATGGCATGTTCTCACAGGAAGCATTTATCACACTTACTTGTCAACCCACTAGAATCAACACTAGTAGCTGACAGTGCCAGGATCAGGGGTGCCAACCCTAAAGCATCACCAGAAAGCAGACTGGTCTTCTGGTTCCTATTCTAGACATGATGTCAGCTAGGGAATCAGACTGAAATACAGAAATAATGATATGAGAATGCAAAGGTTAAATCGAACTAGCAAAGTGGGTAGAATTAAATAAAAAATATGTTGGAAAACTCACAAAGCAGGACATAAAGCCAAGTCATTAGACATATCTCATCAGTGAGACATATGGGAGGACAAAGGATTCAAACCCTTCCTTTGAAATAATTGGTGAGATGATGGAGGTTATAAGAGGGCTGTTGACTCCCTGAAAACCTCAGGGAGTTGGGAAAAAATGATAGAAAAAAAGAGTGAAACCAGGGTTTCAGAACTGGGAAAACAATGACTAGAGATAATCCTGAAAGGGGATTTAAATAAACAATCCCCAGACAACACTAAGAGAAAGTCAGTGGGATTCTGGTGTCACTGTTGTAAAAATTAAAAGGCCCTTGAGGAAAGGACTAGGATAACTTCTCTAAGTATGGACAGCATTGGTGCAGTACTCTCTTCTGTTAAACTGTCACTGGCTTCTGAAAGGAGGAGATATTGTGTTTTCATAGCTGATGCTCTTAAGTATTATTGCATCAATCTGGAATTTGGAAATCAAAATCATTCTATGAAATCAGTTCAGTTTTGAAAAGTGTATGGATTGAAACTGTCTTTCACTCATTCAGACATTACTGAGTTACTGTTATGGTTCTAGGTACTATGGCATGGTACCAGGGGCATGGGCATAAACCAGACTCTCTCTTTGGCCTAAAGCACCATGAGATTGGGTGAGAGATTTTGATATAGTATTATAAAATGTGTAACACATGCTAAGGGAGTACAGAGTAAGGCACACAATAAATGGGGAAATACCTGAGAAACAGACAGTATTTGGAGCTGGGTCTTAAGAGATGAATAAGAGTCCACTGTCCTTAAATGTCTGATCTGGGGTATTCTATGCAGAGGGGATCCCTCACATGCAAAAATCCAGATTCACAACAATGTGAGGTATTTCAAGAGCTCCATCTTGACTATGACAAGTGAGACAGGAACTAGGCAGGACCAGGTCATCAGATAATAAAGACCCTAAACTAAGAAGACTGGAAAAATAGAACATAATATGAAGTTATCATAAGTGTAAACATAAAGAGTAACACTAATGGCTGAGTTCAGATGCTTCATCTGATAACACTCTAATGAACTAGTGTGAGGGTAAGACTGTGAGACAGTCCTAAGGTTACTGTAATCATTCAGGTGAGACACAAGGGCTGGAATCTAGATAATAGCTGTAAGAGAAGAGAGAATTTGCAGATTTTAAGGAAGTAGAACTGATATGATTTAATAACTACAGGGTTATGGAAGGTTCTGGGGAAGTGTACAGAGCATATCTTGGGCATTTTGAGTTTGATGTGATCACAGAAAGAACACAGTGCCTAAGAGCACAGATTCTGTAGTCTGACTGCCAGAGTCTAAATCCTAGCTCTGATCCTTTAGTGTGGTACCTTGAGCAAATTACTTAATCTCTTAGAACCTTGGTTTTCCTCACTTACAAAAATGAGATGACAGTACCTATCTCATGGGACTGTTGTGAGGATGAAGTGACATAATGAATGCAAAGGACTGAGAAGTATCCAGCACAACAGAAGCACTGCATAAACATCAGCTATCACCAGCCACATTATAGTGTATAGTTAGGAAGCTTGAAAGATGATCTGGGATTCAGAAGATATATCTGCCTAGAGATGGATATTCAGGAATCAGTGTGGTGTAAGCAGCAGTTATAGCTACATGTATGTAAGAAGCTAGGGTGTCAGGGAATGAGTGTGGACATTGTGGCACCTATTCAGTGTCTAGAAGTACTGATTGGGTACTCAATAAATTTTGTTGAAAAGATTAGAGCCAAACTAAGGCACAGCAAATGAAGCCTATAGGACACAAATGTACTTGTATATCTAGAGGTGTGGGAGTGGATTCCTTCAGTGTTGTACACTACACATCTTGTAAACCTTACTCTAGCCCCAGTCCTGGCAACAATGTATGAAGTTAAGTTAAAAAGCTAAAATCCTGCAGCTGAAGCCTGGAGCAGCCCTGAACATTTAAGGACCAGTCAGAGGAAGGAAAGTCAATTGCTTCAAGAGGTAGATGGATTACAAGAATTAGAGTAAAGACAAGAACCAGAATAGAGGGCTTTCATGGAAAAAGTTTCCTGAAAAGGGAGAGATCAACAGTTAGAAACGTTTTAGAGTAGTCAGGAAATACATAAGTTAAAAATTATCCTTTACAAGGTCATTACTGATTGCGACAGTCTTCATTATATGGATGGGAACATGGAAGGAAAAGAGCTGCCAGAGTGCATTAGAGCTAAAGAGAACTGAGAAAATTAAGAAGGAAAGGAGGGCCAGATGAGAGAAATAGGAGAAAGAGAGACAACCAACATACACTGGTCTACATGTTATCTAACTGATCCTGTCAACAATATGGTAAGGCAGATACTCTTTTTTTTAACAACTTTACTTAATTTATTTATTTTTTATATGTTGCTGAGGATCAAACCAGGTGCCTCATACATGCTAGGCAAGCACTCTACCACTGAGCTACAACCCCAGCCTGGTAAATACTCTTATTACATAGCTGTTAATCCCATTTTACATTTCTGAAAGTTAAGGTACAGAGATCATGTGACTTGTCTATAGGAGTCAGATATGTGATTCAAAACCAGGTCCGTCTGATCTGATTCCAAACTGTTTTTTCACTCAACCACACTATAAATGAATGCAGAAATGGATTCTATTTACCAGTACCTAGGGCCAAGTAAATGAATTACTGAGAAAAGAGATGGACCTGGAGGCATTGTGAGGCAGCAGTATGTGATGGTACCCATGTGCAATTTGATGATCCATAGCCCTAAGTACTCAGCTGCCTCAGAAAAGAAAAAGGCAAATGGCTACACTGTTCTAGGATATGGGATTGCAAGGATGGTGCAGCAGTTACAAGAAGTGAGAAAGTTGGCAAATGTAATGGGGAGAAGAAAAACCTAGGCTAAATTCAGAAAAAAAAAAAAAGTGAGCCTAAAGGGGACAAGGGTATCAAGGCATTATGTTATGAAAATAAGGTACTTTAGTTCATATCTTTATCTTCCCTTCGATCTTCCCCTTTCCTTCCTTCTTCCCTTCATTCTTTCTTTTCCTTTTCCTTCCTTCCTTCATGATCTCCTAAAGAAACAACTACAGGCAGATTCTTGAGTTACTAGTATTAATTACATACATGCACACATACACATACAAGAGTGTGTGTGTATATATATGTGTATATATACGTGTGGGGGTGAGAAAGAGAGAGAAAAAGACAGAGACAGAGATAGAGACAGAGGCAGGGAAAGGAGAGAAGGAGGGAAAGGATTTGGAGGCCTCAATCCTTCAGAGTTTATGAGTGTCCCTATAGACTAGGCAATCATAGTTAAAATAAACCACATCCTGATTTCCAAATGCTTACAGCACTGGAATTTCTATGACATATGCCAACTGAAGGTGTTATGAATCTGAAGATTAAAAAATAATAATGATGCACTGGTTTTATTTTAACATCAAATGAGAGGCATTGGGGTCATATTTGCAGCTGAACCCACAATTAGGCTCCTGCTCTTCAAGAGATATTTGTTGCAAAGTCACTGGGCAACTGCATCCTGAAAACACAGCCCAGCCAGGGTGATGGATCACCTTGCAAGGATCTGCAATGAGCTATTTTCAAGTGATGACAAAGTGTGAAGTTAACTGCTTATTTGAGAACTTTCTTTTTCATCCAAAGTAAATTCAAATGTGGTTGAAAATCTGAACTTTTATTATTGGAGATCTCTTAACTAAAAGTAAAATTGAATTTTAATTCCTAAATCTCCATGTTTATATAGTACTGTAGGAGCATGACAGATTTTGGCTCCATGCCCCAAAGAGAAATTGGCTTTGGGATTACTTGGATTAAAAGCAAAGCCTTTCTTAAGAGATGTATTTAATTTTCATGATGTTTTCTTTTTTAAAAGCTAAACAATAGTTCTTTTAAATTTCAGTGTTTCTTGATCGTGAAAATGCCACCAAAATTCTGAGCCGGCCAAAGAGGTATAATTCAGGGAAATTGGAAGAGTTTGTTAGAGGGAATCTTGAGAGAGAATGCATAGAAGAAAAGTGTAGTTTTGAAGAAGCCCGAGAAGTTTTTGAAAATACTGAAAAAACTGTGAGTATTTCCATATAATATCCTTCAGTTGCAGACCAAAGACAGAATACCTTTTAAAAAGAAAAAAGGCAAAAACTTTTCTTTGGAATTTTATGACATTCATGCATATATTTACATTATAATTGTTATATAAGAGAAGGAATCAACATCAAAGCACTTTAAATACTACTATTAACTTGTCCTCTTTTTATTCTTTATAGACTGAATTTTGGAAGCAATATGTTGGTAAGTAATTCATTTTATCCTCAATTATGCATTTTTTCTCTGAATAAAGAGATCATATAGTAAACTCTGTCAAAACAACTCAGAAAAATAAATCTAACTCTTTAACCCAAGATTGAATAGTGATATCCTACAGAGTTATGCCAGTGTGGGAGGGATCAGCTGGCAGATAAGTAAACTCTCTGCAGGGCTTCACAAAGATCAGCATTCCATCCCAGGAAGCTGGAAGGAAGAAAACCAAGTGATTGGATCTTGGGACTGAATAAGATTTTGTAATCCTCAGTAGAGATTCAGAGAAAGCTAATTGAAAAGTCTTAAAAGTCTTCCTTGTAGCAGGGTACCATAGTGCACGCTTGTAACCCCAGAAGCTCAGGAGGCCAGCCTCAGCAAAAGCAAGGTGCTAAGCAACTCAGTGAAACCCCATCTATAAATAAAATACAAAATAGGGCTGGGGATATGGCTCAGTGGTCGAGTGCCCTGGAGTTCAATCCCCAGTACAAAAAAAAAAAAAAAAAAAGTCTTCCTCGTTATGATGGCCTACAAAGTTCCTCCACCATCACCCTTTTTTAAAAATTATTTTTTCGTTGTTGATGGACCTTTATTTTATTCATTTACATGCAATGCTGAGAATAGAATCCAGTGCCTCACATATGCTAGGCAAACACTCTACCACTGAGTTACAACCTCAACCCCCTACCATCACCCTTGTGTGCGTACCCCTCTAACATCCTCTCCACCTTGCACACTAGCCTCCTTTTTCACTCTATGATGCTCCCACACTAGAGACTTTACCTGGCTATTTTAGCTGGCTTATCCTAGCTTGCCCTTGGCTCACTCCCTAGTCTCCTTCAGGTCTTAGCACCCAATGTCACCATCTCAATGAGGCCTACTTTAATCATCTATTAATACTTCAACCTACCCCCAGGAATCCCACCACTCCAGACAATAATATCCTGTTATATTTTTAGTACTAAAGGTTGAATAATCCTTATCCGGAATGTTTGTTTCAGATTCAAGATTTTTTTTTTCAGATTGTAGAATGTTTGCTTATATGTAATGAGATATCTCAGGGGTAGAACCTAACTCTAAACACAGGACTCATTTATGTTTCATATACCATTATACACATAGCCTGAAGGTAATTTCATACAACCTTTTTAACCATTTTGTGCATTAATTAAAGTTTTATGGGGTAGAATTTTCCACTTGTGGTGTCATGTTGGTACTCATGGGATTTTGGATTTTGGAGCAATTTGGATTTTAGATTTTCAGATTAGGGATACTCAACCTGGAACACTTTTTGCCATGTGATGTATCATAGCATTTTCTTACTTATACTATTTATCCTTGATTTCCTCCACTCCCCTCCCACCCCATCCAAAAATGCAAGCTTCATTTTGGCAGGGATTCAATTGTTTTGTTTATTTATATATTCCTAGCACCTAGAACAATATCTGGAACAGAGGCACTCAGTAAATATTTGCCTACAAAATTGAAGAAAAGGAGTAAAAGATATACTTTAATAACAACTCATTTTAAAACTAACTTAAAAGCCAGCAGGATTTTGAGGCAAGGGAAGCCTCACAGATTGACTTACCTAAGACCATCTTCATGGTCAGGAACAAATTAGCCTGAACCACAAATTCACTGAGGTCCATTAATTCAAGTCCCTTTCTATTTGCTACAGTTCCCATTCTGAAGACATTATTAGATATTTTTATACCTTCCTAACTCATAATTTCCCTGTTTTTGTTTTCAAGTCATGAGCAAAGACAACATTCACTCTGTTACATTGCTTTATCTATCTTGCCTTATTCTTAGGGATGAATGCTACCATGACTGTTTCTATGAAATATTCCCCATAACATTCATCCAAATAAGTCTTTTTAATGCTTAACTCCTAATGAATTTAAAACTTTGACTTTGGAACATATTTTTAAAAGCAAATCAACATCTGTTTTCCCCAAAACAATATTCTTAGTTGTATTTAAATCCCCATGATTCTTTCATTCCCCACATATACCACAGTTTCAGTAGCATATTTTGAAGTTGGGTGCCTGCCTTCTAGGTCACACAGGTACATTGTTTGCTATACCTCAGGCTTAGATACCTGGGAAACATCAATGATATGCTTCTGTCACTAATACTTTGTCTACCAAAAAAAAAAAAAAAACAAAAAAACAAAACAAGAACTAAAAGGAAACAAACTCCATGTCTCTTTTCACATGCAGTGGGATTCCAAACCACCACTAAAGTAGCCTATGCTGTTTCTCATATATAGCAAGAATCCAGGCTCCTCACTGCTGTCCTTTTCTCTGCCTTTAACTCATCATGCACAGACTTGGTTGAAGAAGAATCACCACCCAATCACATTAATTGGCATCTGTCAGAAACTTTACAGAATGCTATTTTCAGAAGCAATTTATAGCATTCCTATAACATTTAACCCTCACACCATCCCTGTGAGCAAAGCATTATGAATTCCATTCTGCATAGAAAGATACTGGGGCTTAAGGAGGTAAAGAGATTTGCCAAAGGTCACCCAGCTAGAAGTCATGAAGCACAGAAAAGAACCCAATCCCTTGCTTTCTATTATACTTCATGGCCTTCAAATCTAAACACAGTTATTCATTAAACAAGAACCTAGTAGTCTTAAATGGGAATCTGTCACTTGGCAAGGCCTTGTCTCTTGTTGTCTTTGACCCCTACTGACAATGGCTTTTTCTAGGCCCAAAGTACACACAGACAAGGACCTAAAGGAGGACCAAATGCAGGATAAAATGACACTCATTTTAAAGATGTGTCTCAGCAAACGGGTTCCTGTGTAGCTGGCTGCAAGCCCAGACCCTTTCAGTGAAACATCCTAAATAATTCAGATTTGTTGGTCTATAATATAAAGTGCAAATGTAGCTCGTTTTTTAGACCAGTTCTGAACATCAATAATAATAAACCAGAGATAACGTATTTTGTTTTCATAGAATTGGAACAAATTGAAGTATCCATGCAAGAGCACATTGGATCAAGGGGCAGAGGGGACAAGGTCTCATTTTTACAGCAAGCAGATTTTCCAGAGTGGCTACTTCTGAGAAAGGGATATTAGTCCCTTAATTAATGGAACCTGAATACATGCTTCATCAGAGAGGAGGGAGAATGGGCAGGCATCCACACATTGGATGTTAGAGAGTTTTGCTTTGAAGTATAATTAATAATTAGAAGTTTCTCTTTGATTTTCCCTTTTTCTCTTCTTTGGCTCTTATTGTCATCATTGTCTCTTACTCTTTTCTTACTGATATATCGAGTCTTACTGATCTAGCTCCTGTTTTTTCCTCAGGGCTATTTTTTCTGAGCTCAAAGTGTGCACCCACTCTCCCTTCTGTTTGTATTCATCCTTTTCTCCTGAAGCTTCCTTGGAAGTATGCACTGAGACAGAGAATGAAGAAATCAGACTTACAGAGTCCCTTCTCATCCTGATCCTTCCCCTCTTGCTTATGCCTTCCTCCTACTTTCTTACTACCAGTGTCTTCAAAGACTTTCAAGAAACTTCAGAAAAGGTATAATGGATGTAACTAATCTATGCACAAATAAAGTACCTTGCAGAATCTTTTAAAATTCCATATGATATACTGAACATTGTTTTTCACTTTACCTAAATCATTTGGAAGCTAACTTGTAAGATAGTAAACTATCTTTAAGTAGTAAGAGATGCTTCCCGCTTCTTTTCTATTATCTTGAACCCTTACTATATATGATACTTAAAGGTTAAATGATAATACATTTGTTCCATGCCTAGGTCACCAGTTCCTTGAGTGCAAGCACCGTTTATTATCTAGCTCAGCTTGCTCAGCAAGACCTGCAATAAATCAGACTATGTATGATATGTAGCTAATATTCATTGAAATTATTTGCTTTGATGTAGAATTAACTGCTGTAATTCTATAAGAAAGGACTGAAAATTCTTCTCATCCTATGCTGATATGGCACATTTCTTATACAAAGATATTCTTCTACCTCTTTCCTTGGATTGCATAAACTATGTACATGCCTTCGTTGGGGCATTTTCCTGGGACAGTATTAACCTGAAAACCTTTGCTGCGGTGTGCTTTAGAAACCAAGTAAGACAGAAGCATCAACTGGCTTCCAAGTCAGTAATCCTGCTCTGGTCCAAAAATCAGATTCTTATCTCCATAGTATGGACACTCTAAGCAATTTATCTGATAATTTTCCATTTCTTAACCTGTCTCAAAGATGGAGATCAGTGTGAGTCCAATCCATGTTTAAATGGTGGCAGTTGCAAGGATGACATTAATTCCTATGAATGTTGGTGTCGACTTGGATTTGAAGGGAAGAACTGTGAATTAGGTGAGTAATTATTTTTTGATTATTCGTGGTTCAAAAGTTTCCTTTTGAAACCAGATAAAACTGGAAAATGCAATGTTTATGTATCATAAGCTTCTCTTAAAAACATACTTTCAGGCTCAGTACAGTGGCATATACCTGTAATACCAGCAACTCAGGAGATTGAGGCAGGAGGATCACAAGGCCAGCCTGGGCAATTTAACAGGACCCTGTCTCAAAATTTAAAAAATAAATAAATAAAAAGGGCTGAGGATGCAGCTCAGTGTCAAAGTGCTACTAAGTTCAACCCCCAGTACAAAAATAAACTTTCAAAGATTATAAATATTTACTTCATCTGTAGTCACAGTTTTCAGGATATAAGCTCAAGCAATTATATTCAGAGCAGTAACACTATCTGGTCACTAACATTAGATGATAATATTGTTTCATTCACTTTATTTATTAACCCTCAATACAACCATATGTGGTTAGTACCATTATTATCCTCACTGTTTGCACATGAGAAAACTGCAGCTCCAAGAGCTCAAGTGGTTCAGCATAAGTGGTTGAGCTTGACTTGAATTTCAGTTTGACTAAAATCTGTGCTTCTGACAACTATGCTCGAAACTCAAAGAAAATTGAACCCATAAAATTGTTTGAACTCATGACTAAATTGCTATCAGCCTAGGCAGTAGAAGTCAATTACATACAAAACCAGTGGTATGATAGGCCAACTATCCCATACAATAGGAACTGCTCTACACATACAGATCACTTCACATGTTAAACTTGTTGACAAAAATTACAGGTCATTCCCAAGTTTGACCATACTAGTCACATAAAAAAAATCTAAGATTATTATATACTTATACCCTAGAATATTTTTCAGGTTTTGGTAACTGGAACAAAGCCCTTTACCTAATTGATTATTAGCTCTGGATGCAATAGTACTGGTATTGTGACCATGATTGGCACACAATTCTGCAAAAGAATACTCTTTCTACTCTAAAACTCTAGAAGAATAGAGATGCAATCTCAGGGAAAGAATCTGATACCACAAGCTACATGACTACTGACAAAGAGTAGAAAATTAGAAGGATACTGTTAAGGCATCATAGCCAGCCACCTGACAGATGAAAAAAGAATAAAATGAAATGAAATGCACTTGTCCTATTGAGAAAGGGGAAAAAAGTCACCTGAAATGTTATTCGGAAATCCTTTCAGTACTAAGGAGAAATTGATTGATCATCTTCCTTTAAGATCTAAAAGATCTTAGAAGAAAAGAAAAATGTAACAGGGAAAAAGCAGGTAAAAGGAAAGAAAATAGCAAATGCAGGTGGATGAATTAGTATAAACTGTGGTGGACTCCCATTCCCTTAGGTTTCCCAGTGTGGAGACAAGCCAATTTCTTGGTTAACTTTCCTGTGGGTGTGTTCATGGGTTTAACATATCTAAAGTGCTATTTTCATCTGAAAGATTATAATTTCAAATTCAGATTTATCTAGATAAATTTGATCCTGCTATTATGGAAACCTACAGAAATCCTTAGAGTAATCATTCATTATCAGCTTAAATAATAAAACTATTAGAGCTGAGGGAATGAATAACTCAATTAGTCTCAGTTACTATGTGGTAGTAGACTATCTTGAAAACATAAATGTCTATATCTAGCTTAAATATACAGATGTTTTTAAAAAAGAAAGAGACTCACTTCAAGCAGTGTAAGTAAATCTAGGTACAAAATTTCTGTAAACGTATTTACTATATGTGTGAGGTCATGGCCCACAGAGAAAAAATGCTAAGTCTACAACTGGCACTGTCTCAATACTTTCAAGTTCCCACATTTCCGCAGCCAACACAACACTTGGCCTCTATGGTATATTGATTTCACCCAATCAATCTGATCAAGGTTTAGAAAAATCTTTTCAGCTCTTTTATTTCACAAACAAATTGGGAATTCTTTCAAAATGTTCTTTATCTCAGACACTCTAAGAAAGCAAGAACAAAAGCATATACAAACTCCCATTTTAGCTTGTTGCCTCCAGCTGAACTAAAGACTAATCTCAAAAGCCACTAGATAGCACAGTGTATAGAGTATCTGTGCCCCAAATGTCTTGCTTTACCCTGTCTTGGAAAAGGAAAGGAGATTTCCATTGTCAAGACCTTTTTGTTTTCTTTTTCCCTTGCAATCAAGTTCTTCGTCAGGGGAGAAAAGTACAAACATTGAAGGCATTCTTTCTAGTTAGAAGAATAGCAATTAATTGGTTACTGGGTCCTTTTGGCTAGAATAAAGACCTCCATATGTTCCCAGCTGCACATCAAATCCAAATCTCTTTCAAAGAGATCAAGGTCCATAAGAATTCAGTCATCTCTGCCACTTCTAAAGAATACAAGAAGCATTTTCCCACAGTAAGATAGGGATGAGAAGAAAAAACTCACAAGCAATAAATATTTGGGTTTTTTTTTTCACTTTTGCAGCACATCACAGACACTTCTGTCTTATTTACTGTGTATTTCTGTGCAGTGGTAGGGATGTTGAATTTAACTGAAGAATGTTGAATTTAACCACTTTGTGGTAAACTTGTTAAATAGAAAATCTTTTGTTCAAGTTTTTCTTGGCACATCAGTAGATATACCAGGGAAGGTGAAAGCAGGGTAAAGTAAACAGAATGTGATAACTTTTGTCAGTAGGCACAAAAGGAATTAGAAAGTGTTCATGGTAATATGCTTATACTGTAGTGATGAGCTTGATGCTCTTCAACAGAATGTCTAGGCACAGAGACCAACTTCAAGATCAGAGAGAACCCATGGTCAACATAGAATGTGACATCTAAGTGCTCAATAACTGATGAATGAGTGCCATTCTGATTGTTTCTTAGGTCCTGCCTTATTGACCCTTTATTGACCCAGAATTCCTTATGCTATTGTTCTGTTTCTAGAATCCTGAGCCTTTTACCTGAAGGTTAAAAAATGCTGAATAGGCAGCAATATTTTTCATCACATGCACAAACCAAGCCAGAGATCAAGAGAGGCAGCAACATTCTGGTTCACAAAGGGCAATGACAAATGTTCCTCATTTTTCCAATGATCAAGAGGTCTGGTTACTTAGTCAAGGACACAGAATGGGAATTGGAGAAAAAAAACACACCACGTTTATTCATTCCCATTGTGCATTCCCTGGGACAAAACAAGGCTACTCCTACCACCCACCTCTGTTAACTTATCACAATCTCATATTGACTGAACACTTTCCACAGGTGGTATTTGATTTGGCTGAACACTTTAGCATTTCTTGTAGCAACAATATGATAGCCAGAAACAAGCAAAGAGCTAGGGATATTATCAGCATTTGTTAAGAAAAATAGTCCTAAAAATAAGTAAATAAAGAAGACAAAATGTCATCTTTTTGGATCATGCACTTGGTGGATTATTGGTAGCAAAGATTAAAGCTCAGACTGGTCCCTTTGTTCACCTGATGAGAGCTGATTTGCCTCCCTTTATTTCCTAAAGTATCAGTAAGGACTATGAATTAATTATTACTTTAGCTGTGTGCTAGCATATATAAACGAGAATTTTAAAATTTAGATTTACCACTTAAAAATTCATGATATTCTCCAATACCATATAGTCACTCTGCTAGCTTGAGTTCCCCCATAATAAAGAGCCTCTTAACATAAGTTTATTTACTGGAATGTGAAGTCCTAGGGGGAAAGTGTAAGGGACAGGAGAGTGAGTCTGTGAGGAAGGGAGAACCAATAAGAGAATCAGTAATCCGATTACTTGCCTATAACTGTAGCTGTCTGCTGGATCTCCTGGGATTATCTCCAAAAGACAGGTGCACTGATCTCAGGATAGTCCACCTGAAAGACAAGAAGAGGTGAAATAATTTATCCATCAGCATCTCTCCCATTGGTCAAAAGTTCAGCCTATGGGACATTACCATCCCCCATTTCCCAACTGGGTATGCTTGGGCACCCAGAGAGTCATATAGCATCCCACACCTCATCAGGGAAGCCCCAAGGCAAGATGTGAAAGGCACCTAGACCAGATATAAGCCAAGATGATTCAAAGCTGCTCTCATGTGAAGTCAGTAGAAGTACATGTAGAGCTCATCACTACAGTACTAGTAAAAGACATAGATAAGGTTGAGAGGTGGTAATAAAGGTGGTACACAGGAGGCATCTAATACAGTCACTCATTGTCAAACTGTCAATAATAGCTGCACCAAGCATTTCTATGGAAAGGTGTACAGTACTTGAGTATATAAGTAGAAGGTGTCTTATATTCACTGGATTCTGATACTGTGCTAGAGATAGAGGCCCAAGGGCAGAGCCTACTTTTCTTATCTCAGCAGGTCTCAGCTTGCAAGCCCTGAACCATGCTACTTTCTGTTATTGAGATGGCATAGGAGAAACAAAAGAAAGCACAATAATTTGAAAATACAAAATAAGATGGCAGGAATAAACTGACTATACTAAGAATCACAATTAATGTGAATTGGGGTTCAACTAATCTATTAATGACAATGTTCAGTCTGGAGTTAAAATCTAATTGCATATTGTTGACAAAAGAGATCCCTAAAATAAAATTACACCAAGAGATGAAAAGAAACGGATATAAAAAGAATTATCTGGTAAATGTTAACAGAAAGAAAACCATCAAAGCAATCCTAACATCAGACAAAATAGAATCCAAGATGAAAAGCTTTACAGGAGACAAAGAAAGATATTTCATATTAATATGGGAGATTTCACAGGAGAGTAAGAATGGAACGCTTAGCACTGTCAACACATAATATCTTTAGCATTTAAAAAAATCCTATTTTGTCCTCTTGTCTTTTATACTTATCTTCACGTTGCCTATAGGCCCTTATGGACTCCCCAGTACTGCTATTTCTAGAGATCTCCAGCTTCTACTTCTGGAGGTAACTTGTCAAACTGGCTAGCTCTGGAAGCCAAGCAACTTCTAGAATAACTAAGCAACAAATACTACACCTCAGTGTAGACAGGCAGTATCTACAGAAAATTAAGAGATTGTTCCTGCTTTTCTTGTTTGCTAAAAGTAATAAAAGTGTAATTTTCAGAAAAATGATTGCACATATAGAAAACCCAAAGCACCTAAATAATTCGAAGAAATAATATATAGAGAAAGGCTGCTGGACATATAGTCAACATACAAATATTGATTATGTGCCTATATACAGCAAGAATTTAAAAAGAAGTTTGTTTTTTTTTATTTGCTGGATATATTTTATTTTCTGTAGTATGCAATACAAATTTACATGTGTATGCAATATAATTGTCACCAACAAATTTAAATCATATTTTTAAAAGCAATGAGTACATAATTACATGTTAGTAAATATCAGTTTCCAGGTATTTATGGGAGAAGATTGAATGTTAATGTATGCACATGTAGCTTTCTTGTACTGATATTTTGCTTTTCAATGTGGAGCTAGTAAAAGTGATTCTGTTGACAAAATGGATCAAACAAACAATAAATAACAAAATAAAGGCGAAATCATAGAGTATTGGTTAAGGTCACTAGCTTTTGAATCTGGATGGAACTGCATATCAATTTAACTCTCTGAACTTTTAATTTTCCTTATCTGTAAAATATAGATATATTCTCACTAGATTTTTTTTTTGAAACTTAGGCAAAAAAGAAATATATTGGAAGGAGAATTTACAGAATTTATGAGCAGTCTGGAGAACTGTGCTCAGAAAATAGTCTGGAACAATGTTATAATGAAGGAAAGAAATACAATGAAGTCATACACAGGACAGTTGGGTTAGGGGTGTCCCTTCTGCCCTGGGTTTGAGCTCTATGATGTGTCAGCTTCTTTAATCATACACTCCAAATTCAGAGGCTCAGATGGGAGCATCCAGTTGTTCAAGCTTGGTTACATGGTCAAACCAAGACTAAAAAGAAGTTTTATAATAGAATAAAAGATTAATGCTTAGGAATGAAATTAATAAAAATGTAAAAAAAATTCTACACAAAAATATGGAAAATTTTGAAAAATTAAGGAAGACCTAAATAAATGAATGGATAGGCTATCTTCATGAATTAGTGGATACAATACAGTAAATATAACAATTATCTCCTAATGGATTTAGTCCAACACCAATCAAAATTCCAGCAGGCATATTTTTTGTATACGTGGAGTAGGACTACCAAGCTAGTTCTAAAATGGAAATACATGGAAATACAAAGGGCCAAGGATAGCCAAGACAATTTTGAGAAAGAATAAAATTGTAGTAGTAAAAGTACTACTACAAGAGTTAGAGAGACATATTAATTAAGATGGTGTAGTATTAACACAAGGGTAGACAATAGATCAATGGAACACCAGAGAGTTCAGAAACATACATACACACATATAGAAACTTGATTTATGACAGAGGTGCCACTGTAGGGAATGATTGCTCTTTTAACAAATAGTGAGGGATCAATTATATATCCATAGAAGGGCAAATACATCCCTATAACATACCATGTATCATAATCAAATACAAGTGGATTCAAGATCTATATGTGAACTATAAAACAATAAGTTTTTAAATTCATGAACTTGGGATAAGCAAATCACTCTTAAATAGCATACAAAAAGTATGCACTACAAAGGAAAAATTGATAAAATGACACTAGAGAGAAAAGTCAAGTCACAGAGTGAAAGAAGATATCCCCCCCCCCCGCCACACACACACTAGAACTCTTATACACTGATGGTAGAAATTTAAATTTGTACAATTGCTTCAGAAAATTGTTTGGCAGTATCTACTAAACCTAAACATATGATCCAATAATTTGACTGATACACATAAATCCAGTAAAATCACATTCTTATATTACCAAATATATGTACAAAATGTTTATTAAACCATTATATATAAAAACCAAAAACTGAAAACAACATAAATATCTATTAATAGTAGAATGGCTGAATAAAGTTGTAATAGTAATACAATGGAATACTACACAACAATGTGAATAAACTATAGCAATACAAAATCACATAGATGAACCTATAGATAAAATGTTGAATGAAAGATACAGAAAAGTACATATTGTAAGTATTTATATGAAGTTCAGGAACTGGTAACTTTTGAAAAGGAAGAAAGATGGAGTGATTAGGAGGGAGCGTCAGGAGAATTTGGGGGGTTTTGATAATGTCCTATGTATTGGTGTGTGCAGCATTTAAACAGATTCATTTGCTTTGTGAAAATTCATACAAAAGTTTTATATTCTTTTCTGAATTTGTGTTACATTTCAATAAGTAGGATTTTAATTGCAGTCCATGATTTAATGAAAATAAAATATCTAGTCATTTAGCTTTACACCAAATCAAAATACTACTTCCACTATTTTATGCCTGAAAATTTTATTTTTCTTCCCATTATTTGCTCCAGGCTCCCAAGCTTCTCACTATGAATACTCCCAGCTTATTTGACCCATATGTGAGTCAGTAGTTCCATGTACTTTTTAGAAAGGCATGTTAAATGGTGCTATTTTGCTTTCTTCCAGATGCAACATGCAACATCAAGAATGGCAGATGCAAGCAGTTTTGTAAAACAGGCACTGATAGTAAGGTGGTTTGTTCCTGTACTGAGGGATACCGACTTGCAGAAAACCAAAAGTCGTGTGAACCAGCAGGTCAAAATCTAAATAAGTTGTTGTTGTTTTTTGTTTTTTTTTAAGAAAATATATATTTGAACCTTTGGCATTTTAACTCCCTAATTTTAATCCCTACTTGCATGTACTTCCTTTTGAAATCAAACAAAAGATCAGTAGCATGAAATGGAGAAATTATTTTTCAAAATTATATCATCATTTTAAATATAAATTTTGTTATTATCCACAGTCTTTTTTGTGTCGATTTTTTTCTCTGACCTTTAAATCACAAAGCAATTGATTTGTGTGATTTCTGTATATATTTGTAATTCATCAAGTCAAATTAATGTAGTAATATAGTACTGTACCAGAAAAGATACACAAATAACTGAGTGATGGACTTCTAGTAGAAGGCTGGTGAATTTTAAGCATGAGACTGTCAGGGCCTGACTAGTGTACTCTAAGAAAGTTATTTCCTGACTTTGGGCCTTAAGCTGAGTTTATACAGAGTGTCAGAATGTTTCCAGCAACTAACTGTTTAAGTTCTGCTAGGCTGATCAGCACTATGTTACAGAAGGAATAAAACAATGTTTCTCAGTCATGCTGACCATGCCACCATGTTGACAGTTGATTGGTATATTCAGCACATCTGTACTCCACTCTCATGCTGCTCTTCTCTGAAGACAAAAGCAGTAGAAACTTTGTTCTGAAAAACATTAGGCTCTGCACGATTAATTATATTTGATGAATGAGACACTTTTTTGAAGCAAGCTACACATAATTTCTTTTGCATTTCCAAAGCCTGCTATCTTATTAAATTGGTGCATTAAATCATGCACCATTCCTCTGTAATTGGGTTCAATACCTATTTCAGCAATGCATCAGGCAGAGGAAATTAAAGTAAGGACCAGAATCCAGGAATATACATACTGCAACTAAAATAAAGAATCTCTAATGCTTTAGGGCCTGTCCACCTAATCTTCTGCCTGGTTCTTCACATATACTGCCTTAAAGCTTGCCTTCCTCGGAGGAGTGTGTGTATATATGAGTGTACACACACACTTGGTATTTAACTTTACAAAGCTACTTTCCAGTGTAGACAAATGGCATAGTAGCTAAGCCCTTATAAGCCCTTCTATAAGAGAGAAAAAGAATTGAGAGCCACCTCCAACCATTATGAGTTATATTTGAATGTAGCCTTTGCTTTAGCAGAATAAGTAGGCCAAACCTAAAATAAGCTTTTCTGCCTTTTCAAATATAATGGTCCCTTTTCTCTCACCATTGTTGATCATGTATATTTATACATAAGTATTTTGAAACTAATTTCCTGTTTTCTCAACCACATGCTGCCTTCATGATACTTTCCCATAGCTGGTTGCTATAGAAATGTCTGTTATAAGGAAAGTGTCTAGGAGGAAAGTGAGAAATGAAAATGAAGTATAAGGTAACTTTGTTTGACTACAAATTTCCATTTTGGTAGTCCCCAGTGTAGCTGTAGATAATTGGGGGCCAGGGGACAGGGAATAAACCAACTCAAAGAGGTGTTCAAGTTCCAGGTAAATACAGCTGTGATAATCATATTAGTAAACTTTTTGGTTAATAATTGACAGCCAGGTAATTGAACCAAAATGATCTCACTTCAAAAAACACATGAAATCCACCTTGGATACTAGAGGGCATTCTAGTCAAGAAATCCTGTTAATGATAACCAGCAGAAGTTCCATTCACTAATTAGTCCCATTAATCTAATGGCACAAAGCATTCAACTTCCATTCAGGGACAGCACCTGGAAGTACAATGTTAGTAAAGAAACTAAACAAAGTCATGAGACTTTATAAAAAGTCCTACCAAATTTGATTCCAGAACACCTATTTCCATCAAGATGATGGATTCTGGAGCCAAATGTTCTTTCCATGAAGGTTTTGAAAACTTTCCATGAAAATAATGCAATCAACTATATTCATTGATTAGATTTTTTAATGTTGATGGGCCTGCTTCTCAGAAGTGACAGGAATTGGCCTCATTCTCCATTTTCAAAATATATCTTCCATTAGCCAATGAAAAATATTGGAATACTAATATTTTTTTTTTCTATTTTTCTAGTGCCATTTCCATGTGGAAGAATTTCTGTGTCATACACTTCTAAGAAGCTCACCCGTGCTGAGACTATTTTTTCTAATATGGACTATGAGAATTCTACTGAAGCTGAAGAAGGCATTTTGGATAACATCACTCAAAGCACCGAGCCATCTAATGACTTCACTCGGGTTGTTGGTGGAGAAAACGCCAAACCAGGTCAATTCCCTTGGCAGGTACTCTATACTGATAGTGTGTCAAAACTGGAGTTCAGCTGGCAAAAGACAGGCCAGGTGGGAAGCTGAAGCTAGGCCACTGGCAAGACCTGTAAGGGTGAGACAAGTATTTAGGTAAGTTTCAGTAGTAAGCAACGTGACAGTCCCGATAGATGAGCATCTGGGGAAAGAGAAATCCAGGGACAGCTACCATAAAAGGTCAAGAAGAATTTGGCATCAAAGAAAGAACACAGCAAGATTCCAGCAAGCAATTAACTGGTCAACAATAGGGAGGTCTGGAAGAGAGGTCACAGGTACTAGAGTTCAAGGTACTGCTCCAGCTCAGCCCCTGGGGAAACTGGTGAGAGTCAAAAAGTTTCTTGGCCCAGAGAAACTGGATTATTTTTAAGGGAGCAAAGGACTCTTGTAGGAAGGATTAAGGCAAGAATGGTTCTTAGAGTCAGGACATGAAAGGGGGCTTGATCCATTACTCTGGTTTTCAGTGTGGTAGCAGTAGAGTCACCTGGGAACTTATTAATAATGTAAATTCTCATGCTCCACCACAGATCTACTGAATCAGAATCACTTGTGTGGGGCCCAGCATCTGTGTATAAGCAAGCCCTCCAGGTGATTCTGAGGCACACTTACAATTTGAAAATCACTGGTGCAAAGGAAACAAACATATTACATAATCCAGCATTCAAAACACCAAACAGTGGACTCTTTCTACCTAGTTTCTTCCAGGGTGTTCTACAGACAACCTACATAAACAGAACTACCTATGCACATTTTTATGTAACTACCAACAGCTAGATTTGTAGCAAAACCAGGGTTGTAACTATGCCTATAGCTAAAGCCTAAGTGATTCCATCTGTGAGAAGGGATAAGCCACCTCCTCCCCACCTCAAGGCAAGGAGCCAGGCTGGTCCTTATGGAAAGTTGTGCTGTTCAAAATGGTAACCACTAGCCACATGTGGTTACTTAAATTAATTATGAGTAAGTAAACTTACAAATTCAATCTTTAATCACACCTGCCACATTTCCAGTGCATAATAGCCACATGTAGTGAGTGCTACTGTACTGACCAGGGCAGGTGTAAATAGAATACTTCCATCACTGCATAAATTTCTATTGGAGAGTGCATATATATATTAGTTTAGTCTAATTTAAAACTCCCTAGTGGCCACGATCATATTTGGTAGTTATTTCAAGGATGCTTCACTCCAAAATATTTTCTCTACTGAGGTTTGAAATTCTGCCATCACAGAGTGGTAGCTTTAAAGACTTTGCAATCATCAAATGGGTAACAATTAAAGCCACATAAATGTCTCCAGGTTTAACACCACTGAAATTTTCTTAGACTAGCTATGTATTTATCCATTCTTCAGAATGCTTGCCGTTTTCCAACATAATAAATGAAAGATATTAAACATAGGCCTCAGGACATGGGGACATTGTAGAGAAAGGTACCACAGGGTAACACAACATTACAACCAAGACATAATATTTTCCTTCCTTTTGTCTTTTTTTTTTTATACAGTATTTTGTTGGACCTGATCTTCTAGCCAATAAAGTACACTGTATGTCCCTGTGTCCCCACTTAAAGGCACCCTACCAGTGCCCTTTCCCTCACCCACCATACCACCCTTCCTTTACTCATCCACGTCTTTACCATTCTTTGTGGTCCTGCTAAAATTGACCTTGTCCACTCACCTTTCTTTGAACAACCTCTTTTTGGTACACTCTGATTATATTTTCATTCTACTTAGCATCCACGTATCTCATTCTCTTTTTCTTGTTTGCACTTTCATTCATTAAATATCTGATTTACATGAATAAGGTGGTTATAAGAAAAGATCCTACTTTATGACAATTATTCTCCTTGGGCTTGTGGGACATAAAGCAGTGTTTATAGTAGAGAAGCCAGGGGGCCTGTGTTATTAGTTCAGAACATCACTTCCTTTTTTTTTTTTTTTTTTTTGGAGTGCTCTACCACTGAACTACATACCTAGCCCCATTGCTTTCCTGTTTAAAAAATCCAACTTCTTTTTAAATCCCAGGGTGAATGCATTGTGAGTTTAGCATTGCCCCCTTGTCATACCAGAAATGAAATGGCTAATATAATTAAATGAGAACCAAAACAGGAGAAGGGGTGGATAAAGTCTCTGTTTAGTCGCATAATGTGTATTTTCCACCAATCCTCTTTAAACCAGATGCTTGGCAGTGTTTTAACAAATGCAATGTGTTTCCTAAAAGAAAGCAACTTGGGCAGACATTTTATTTCCTTTTTAAGTAGAAAAGACTAATAGATTGTGGTTGCAGTTCTGTGAGAAGATATGATACTTATCATTCCAAATCTTTTTGTATTCTTCTCACTGCACACTTACAGAAGACCTGTGGTCTTTTTCCTGTCCTGCCTATCTAAGTTCATTTGGAACGTTCAAGATTACTCACAAATTCATGTGTGCACACATGTTCACTCCCTGTTTCTCCCATATGTACTAAGACTACTGACTATGGGTGTACCAAGCACTAGATTTTCTTCTTTTCCAAAGGCAAAGTACTAAGCTTTTTCTAGTATACTTGAGAAAGACTCTACACTGTTTCCTTCCTCAACAGAGAATGTTCTCTCCATACCTACCCAGTTCCCCAGGAAAGGTTATTGGTTTTTAAAACTTGGAGATTATCTGAATGTCCAAAAGGCACTTTTAGACAAAGATGAACAGTAAATAAAACAAGCCAGAATCTTTCCTACTTGGTGGAAAGGCCATCTCGGCCACACCATGGTTAATGTGTAGAATGGGAAATACTAGATGTGTTGCAGACAAGATTGCAACCAGGGTCTGGGGTTGTAGCACTGTGATAGAACACTTTCATAGCTTGTGTGAGGCACTAGGTTCAATTTTCAGCACCACAAGTAAATAAATGAGTAAAATAATCAACATCTAAAAAAAAAATTTTAAAGACCAAGAGAAAGGAAACAACAGCTGGGGTTTCAGTGGCCACCATATTTTACTTCTGGCTCTGAAATATGAAATACTACTTAGAATATCATCTGGAAAAGAGTGTGTTTGTAAGTGCTGATGTTTCATAAAAGCCTTTCTATTCAGAATTGATTCTTTCATCTTTCAAATTGGCAGGGGTGAGGGATAAAGTGATCACTCAGGGTGAAGAAATCCCACAAAGAAGGACATAGAGTTCACTTTCACCAGGAGTAATGAACAGTTTGAATGGACTGAGAAAGCTTTTTTTTAGTCTGTCAAAAGAAAAAGGTGTCGGTGAGCTGTCAGCGAGCCCCACAGGGTGGGGGGTTCACCCTGCGTCTTAGCGGGAAGTTTGCAGGCAGATTCCGGCCACTGCTGGGTGGTAGGCTGGGTGGCTTTGGGAGGAAACGTGGGTAGAACAAATATTTGTGGAACTGCCTACGGGAAAAGGTGTTCTGTTCCTGGGAACAGACAGCAGCCGCTGCGTGGCCCCGGGAGTTCATAGGACTTGGTTCACCTGGCGGGAGACGAGAGCAGGCTGAGGGATGGCAGGGACGCCGTCCCAACCGTAGCCTGTTCCCGCTAGCGCTCATTTTTTACCTCACTCTCTGGCTTCCACGTCAGTCTGCTGGGCCAGAGGAAAGTGCCAACCCAGCCGCGTCGCAGGACATGGTCGCCTCCCAGCAGCCCCCAACGGTTCTAGAGCGGTGCAGCACGCCCCATTCTGGGCTGAGCCCGAATGCCAGAGGCGCAAGTGCTTCGGGCGCTTCCCCCTCGGAGAGTTGTTAGGCTGGGGGGGGGGGCGGGGGAGGGGAAGGAGTCACAGCTGGGGTCTTCTTCCTTCTCTCTCCTCCGCCCCCAGCTGGCTTGGGCTGGGAGGGGCAGGATGCAGGCCCCAGAAGGGACACTTAAGAAGAAGAAAGAAAGTAAAAGGTTAAGTGCCCTACATGGAAACAGAAAGGAGATTTTCTTAGAGTTACCATATCTCGTGGAATGGGGAACTAAAACAAGACTTGAATTTCCCAAGTTACAAAGGGAAGAAATCTTTGAACATTATAGAGAACAGGGAAATTACGCCTATATTACCAGATTGGTTTCATCAACCGCGCAAAACTGAGACGTTTGAGCGGAATGCGGCTGTGCACGCTGCTAATCCCAGCGTCTCGGGAGGCTGAGGTAGGAGGATCGCGAGTTCGAAGCTAGCCTCAGCAACTTACTGAGGTCCTCAGAAAATTATCGAGACCCCTTCTCTAAAAAGATCTGGGGTTGTGGCTCAATGGTTAAGTGCCTCTGGGTTCAACCTCTTGTAACAAACAAAAAAGCTTAGAGGTTTGAGGCAGGAGATGTGGCTCAGTGGTAGGGCACTTGCCTAGCATGTTAGAGACCCTGGGTTTTATCCCCAGCACTGCAAAACACATACATATATGTATATATTTCATATATACATATGTGCATATATAAGTGTGTATATACATACAGACGGAGAGACAGACAGGTTTGAAGGAGTGACATGTTTTTCAGGGATTCTAGAGCTTTAATTTGGTTTTGGTCCCAAGCCCATGATCCTGCCATCTGACAATTCTGAGCATGCACAAACTGACCCAAGAACTGTTTTGGGTTAAGATCTGATTAGCTCTGTAGGTGAAGTACCTGGTCTATTTTCTGTTTTATCATAAGCCTCAGTTCTGTATGAGGCATATTTATTCCACATTTAATAGTCTGAAGATCATTCTACCACATTGAAAAAAAAGGGAATAATATGGAAGCCAAGTGACTAAGCTGTCCTCATATTATGTTGTATCATATGCATTTCCTAATATTTAACTATTTTAACCTATAGAAAATGTCTGAAGAAGCATTTTGTCCATTCTTTATTCTATTCTTTGCCTAAATCTTTAAAGCATCTTAACATTTTCCCCAGTCTCGGCTTCCCTAAGCTCTGGCTTTCAGCTATCTTTAAATTTGCCTGCACTCTTGCCCTATACTGCTAGCTACAATGATTCAAATAGGACACAAGTCAGTAGCAGATAGCAGGTGGAGTTACCATTTGCATAAATCACAGCTTTTTTGTGTGGAGGGGTATGTTACATGAAAATAGAAAGATAGTCTCTTGAAAAAAAGATGGCCCTGTATTATTCCTAGCTCAGGTGATAAATAGGAACATGATATATATAATCACACCAGGCCCCACAAAGCTAGTTGGGACAGAATATTTAGACTATTATACTCTAAGACTGTTTGATGAAATATATTTCAATATTAACTAATTGAAATAATGGTATATTTGAAATAATGTCATATTTCAAGTTAACCACTAAAAACCAAAGTGAGTATCCCCTCTATGCCCAGTAAAATGACATAGGGCCATGGGTTGACTGAATCATGCCTGCAGGCATAGCAAGTTATAGGTCATGTAGAAATGGTTTTACTTTGTATATGAGAGTAAAGATACAGAAAAAGTATTATTGGAAAGTTGGAGTGAGTGACAGAAGCAGAATAAAAGTTTTGCTGAAATCACAGGGAAAGGCTAGGTTGGAATTAACACTTGGAAAGAGAACAACAGGGCAACCACTGGTACTCTGGACTGGCATTTTCATGAAGAGTATAAGTGCAATTTTGTGAGTATGTATTTTGTAGATGAATGTAGTTGTGTTTGATATGTATGTGTGTGTGTGTGTGTGTGTCCAAAACAGGAAAAACAGGCTCCTGTTAGGCTGTGGCTACCATGAAAATGTTTAACAGATCAGAACTCAGGTATCTTGCTCACAACATATGCCTTCCCATTTCCTCCATCATTCTCTGAAGTGGTGTCTTAATATGAACTTGTCCTTGGCCAAGTACAAAGCTCATCCCCCAAATATCTAATATTTATATAGATTTGGTCCAGAGGTAGCCAAGAAAGCATTCCAAAACCATACCAATTGTAATATCTTTAAATGCAAAAATATATATTTGAGGTCTTTTTTTGGCAAAGATGTTTGCTAAAATTTCTAACACCAATCAGGGATTGGCAAAGAATTCTCTTTGGGCTTAAAAGAACAACCATATTTCTCAGACATCCACTGGAAAGCAATAGAAACATCAGGCAGCAAGTCTTTGGCAGAAGTCAGACAAACTACATCACAGTCTCTGTATCCAGAGGCTGTGGATTCATTCAGTCTGACCTAAGTAGCCCACTAAACTGAGAGATGCCCAGCTTCCACAAACAAACCCATGCCCTGCCTCAAACAGTGGCTGGAGGGGAAACAATGTGATATCCAGGCTGGTAAACTCTTATTTCCACCTGCTTGAATGAATGCATTCAGTTGTAATCATCACGTCCATTATAGAATCATGTTGCCCACATTTTCTTGGTGATAATAATCACTTGGGGTCAGAGTTCACACATGGTCTTATAACCAGCATGCTTACAGAAGGCTTTATACTGAGAAGGGTGGCATATCTAGAGTTTAATACATTACATTTGTGCTGTGTAACTGAAGTCTGATGAGACAACAGAGCATGCACTGGGGCCTTGGAACCTGGGATTACCAACTGCTTGATTACCAAGCAGTTCCACCTCTCACCACTTCCTAGAGAGTTTCTTCACCTCCTTCTCCTCTACCCCTGGTGCCTTAGCCAGCCCTGCCTCTCCCTTCCACACCTGCCCAATGACCACTGCCACCCCCAACCCCTGGTGCCCAGACATACACCTCCTCCTTGTCTCTACCCAACTACTGTTGCCACCCTTCTCCCCTGGCAAGGACCTGGGCCCAGACACAAGGAGAATTGAGGTCAGGTGCACACACTCTGTGCTATCTGGGGAAGGGACATACATGGCCATAGGCATCTCTGGACCAGAAATGGGCTACAGAAGAATTAAAGGATTAATGCTAGGGGCAAGCCTCTTGCCAGTTTCCCTTTTGGGTACATCCTGACATGAATGTTGCAATCCCTTGGGAATTATCTCTCTGCCTTGATTGCTGCAATAGGAAACCAGTAGTACCCTAGGCCCCCTGGCAAAGAAAGATTGACTTACCCTCCCGTGATAGAGTCCAGTGACCTGTGGCTGGCAGACAGGGAGTCTTGTGGGTGTGTGTGCTGAACTGTACAGTGCCACCCCTGGGCACCTGTAAAGGTCTACACTCTCCTAGCAAATATCCCCATGCCAAAGGGAGCATGATATTAAATATCAAGCTAAAAAAAGAAAAATAAATAAACATTTCAAGAAAGATCACTGAAGAAAAGAAAAATTTTGTATTTTAGTATCTTCAGTGACACTTTTTTCCTGGCTTTGGAACAAAAGACTTCACATTTCCGTTTCTCATTGATACCCCTCCCCCCACAAAAAAGTATGTTGATACAATGGGGTGAGCATTATTAAAACAAAGATTACCAAGCCTTGGGAATTCTGATTCAGTAGTGCAATACACTTGTCTAACTTAATCGTACGTAAGAATATGCTAGAGAGCTTCATTTTCCCCAGCCCCTAGCAGTAAATATTTTAAGTCTCAATAAGCCTGCAAATCTGCACTTTACAAGCACTCCAGGTGATTCTCCTGCCTTGGTCCATAGACCACATTTAAAGAGATACTGGATGCTCAGAGGTACAAATACTGGAGTCAGGCAGACTTGGTTCTGTATCCCACTAGCTAACTTGAGGGGAGTTAATATATATCTCTAAACCTTAATTTGCACATCTATGGATGGATACATTACTATCATTCCATAAGGATATTATGTTTTTTTCAATAAAGATGATTAACATGTATTATCTATATACTGGCCAAAGTGTTGGGCAATGTACACAACTTATCTCCTTTAATCTTCAAAATAACCCTGTGAGATAGCATTTTTTATTACTGCCTTTCTTTGAGGATGTTGTTTTGATATAAAATGTATACAAAACAGTACAAGGATTGGCCCCAAATAAGCACTCAATATATATTCAAAAAATTAGAATAATTGTTAAATCTGGGTGGTGGACACACTGATGTTTATTATATTATTATTTGAGGTTTTTCAGTAGTTTTACAGCTTTTTTAAGATAAAAAGCAACAGAAAGGGAGAGCCAGAGTTTGGAAAAGATCATGAAGCCTATTATGAGCTGTCCCTATAGCTCTCACAGTGAGAGGCTAGTGCTTCAGTGTCTAGTCTAGGACATAGTAGGTGTTCAGTAAGTTGAATTCAGGACTGGAAGAACTTTCAAAAGAACATGCCCCAGGGACTATCTCTGACCCACACATAAAGGAGTTGACCATCTGCTTTCCCTGGTTTATGAATGATTTTATGCTTAGGGCTACCAGTGCCTTAGGAATAGTGCATCCTTTCACAAAGAGCTCATGGGCTCCTGAAGAGTTTACTGAATGTTGAGTGTGCCCTCTAGTGTTCACATATCTCAGCTTTCTTTGGGAAAATTTAGATGGAGAAAGGCCCTCACTTACATTGGACCTGAAATTCTCTAACTAGATCTAGACCTTAAGGTGCTGGAAATATTTGTTGTCCTCTGTGATTGTGCAGCAAATATACAGATGAATGAATGGATATCTTTGCCCACTTTGCCCCCAAATAAAATAAAGCACAGCTAACTAGACCTTTTAAGACAAAGGCAGATTACATATTCAGCCAGGCAGGGTGGGGTATGGATAGGAAAGAATGGAAGGAGCTTGCGAGTCCTGCTGTGCCCCACCGCTTAGGTGGCTTTATGCACAGCCCTGATAGAGGCATTAAGTCTAGTTCATACTATTCCAGTTTGGAAGGGGCTTGAAAGAACTCCTGGAAGAATATATCATCTTTTCTTTTTCAAATGATTTATAGCAAAGAGATCTCTACACGCAGAGACAGGAGACTCAATATCCCTATTCATCTGGAGGAGATGTCAGTGTGTTTCCTAAAATACATGCTGTATCCCATGAAGCAATTGTGCCATCCGAAAATCTGACTCACCTGGGAAAGGAACTCGAAGGCCCCAAATCTCTCCTGTCTCTCATTGTGCATTTTCCTCAAGATAGTTACAGAAATGGCTTTTTGGTTTGAGTTTCAGAAACACTAATTCATCCACAAAGGTGACACCTTGCAGAAATTCGCCATTTCTGCCAGTGTCTACAAGCCAAGTTTCTGCCTACTCCTGTTAATAGCACATGTATTTATTTTGTTCTGGAACAAATATATTGTGCAGTAAGATTCTTAATTTGTTTCCACAGGTCCTTTTGAATGGTAAAATCAATGCCTTCTGTGGTGGCTCCATCATCAATGAAAAATGGGTTGTAACTGCTGCCCACTGTATTGAGCCTGGTGTTAAAATTGAGGTTGTTGCAGGTAAATAAACAAAAGGATAATAATCTATACAATTGCTAAACCTTCTATGTGATTGACACATCATATTTTACTAAGATCCAATAGGATTGTTACTAATTAAGTTGGGCCAGTGGTAGAAGAAATATAATTTCAGAACTTGCTCTATCCTTCAAGCCCCATAGTTCTTTTGATGAATATGTAAAGCACTCATCTCAATAGGATGCAATTATTTATTGTGGTATCAATTTCCCCACCAAACATGTAAGATTTGGTAACATTTTGAGACTTGGTTGCCAGTTTTCAGTGATACCAAGTAGACACATGGAAAATCTGTTTCTATGAAAGTCGTGACTGAAAATGAAATTTATTTCAATAGGTGAATATAACATTGAAGAGAAAGAAGATACAGAGCAAAAGCGAAATGTGATTCGAGTTATTCCTCACCACAACTACAATGCAACTATTAATAAGTACAACCATGACATTGCCCTTCTGGAACTGGATGAACCCTTAATACTAAACAGCTACGTAACACCTATTTGCATTGCCAACAGGGAATACACAAATATCTTCCTCAAATTTGGATCTGGCTACGTGAGTGGCTGGGGAAGAATCTTCAATAGAGGGAGATCAGCTTCAATTCTTCAGTATCTTAGAGTTCCACTTGTTGACAGAGCCACATGCCTTCGGTCCACAAAGTTCACCATCTATAATAACATGTTCTGTGCTGGCTTCCATGATGGAGGTAGAGATTCATGTCAAGGAGATAGTGGGGGACCCCATGTTACTGAAGTGGAAGGGACCAGTTTCTTAACTGGCATTATTAGCTGGGGTGAAGAATGTGCAATGAAAGGCAAATATGGAATATATACCAAGGTATCCCGGTATGTCAATTGGATTAAGGAAAAGACAAAGCTCAATTAATGAAAAATGCATTTCCACAGTTGATTCATTGGGATTGGAACTGGATTGGGCCCTTTAAATTCCTTGTGTCTTGTTGAATTTAAATATATACTTCTATAAACATTGCCTTTTCTCTTTGCAGGGGAGAATTCCATCTAGAATTTATATTTTACTAGAGGAAGTAGATTAGAAAATGTAATCACTAGAGAAATGCAGTGTGGTAGGAAATCATCACCATTTACAAAGGGCTCAGCCCTTACCAAAATTGTGAAGTTCTCCACCCTGCCCAGCAGGTTCTATGGTTCTCCATTGTGGTAACTCACCTGATTCTCCCTCCTTAACAGCATTCCTTGTTCTAAATCTTCCATGCCTCTCTCATCAAAACATCAACATTCATTAGGTCAGTAACCAGGATCTTTACTTGAGTCCATCACAAGGCCAACACCACATTCATAAAGAGAACATAGGAATAGTTAACAGGTCAAAACTTGTTGGAAGCACTTCTTATTTTTCTCTGTCTTTATTCCTGAATCCTTAAATTTTTCTGACTCCCAATCTCCAAATCAACTTTTCTATTTCTTACTCCCTCTCGGTCATTTCCCCTCCACAGTCATTAAAGGTGGTAAGGGGAGCATTCTGTTTCACTGCTGTATATAGGTGTATGTGTCTGTTAAAACCTGGCTTTCTTTTATTTTAGTCTCAGATTGACTTTTATAACATAGGGATGAAGGAAGGTGATTGAAGAACATGTTGGGAAAGTTCCTTTCAGAGCATTAAAGCTAGTGTGTGTGTATCTCAATGAGCCATCTAGAACAGTTCCCTAAGAGTTTGTCACTAGGTGATTATGGCAGTCTGGCTGGGGATGGTTCCATCAAGGCAAGGCTGGCAGGTCACTAACTAAAAAAGCTGACATAAACCAAGGTATTTTATCCCCTGTATGGAAAAAAATAATGCTAACAGAAAGAACATTCCATTTGTAACCAAGAACTAGCAGAGTCTTTAAGGGAGAAATTAGCAGCATATCTCCAACATTACCTGGAGCCAAGCAAGAAGTTTCCTAGACCAGAGACCATGAGCATCATCTCCTTGGCTAATATATACATCAGTGGAGAAGGGCACACAGGCTCAAAGAGCTGAGTCATTACACCCAGATAACTAACTCCCCCTTTTTTTTATTCCATGTTCACCAAGGAACTTTGTGATTATGATTAATCTTTCTCTACTGAATTTCCTAGAGGGCTGCTGACCAACCAACATGTCATTCTACTTATGAATTAATAAACTGATGTTCTAGTTCCTACTGAGTTTTTGTGAGTTTATTTGATGTGACTCAGTCACTCTGTATTGATGTGGGACTACTGACAAAATCATGTTTGGAACCCACCCCCTGCCCCCACCATAGTCTCAGACACACCTCACTTATTGATTTCTTTAAAGTCCTCCTACTTTAGTCTTATAAACATAAGTATCAATAAAATTTGAAATATTTTCAAATGTCTCCATGTTTCTTGTTAAATAGTTCACATAGAGGTATCCCAAATGCTACATTCAGCAAAACACTCAGAACAATGTGTCTGAATGCAATACACCTAGGATGGCATGGGTTCTAATTAGCTGTGAATATGACCTGGGAAAAGTCACAACCTCTTATGGAATTTGATTTCTCCATTTGTATAGAGAGTTTAACAGGATACTCTCCAAAAGCCTTTATGACGTTGACAGTCTGTGATTTGTTTATTTGTTTGTTTGTTTTTTTGAGTCTTTGTGTATGTGTGTGTGTGAGAATGGTCACATGTATAGTACTGAGGATTGAACCCAGGGGTTCTCTACCTCTGAGCTATATCCCCAATCCTTTTTATTATTTTGAGACAAGGTCCCCCCCTAAATTGCCTAGATTGGCTTCAAACTTGTAATCCTCCTGCCTCAGCCTCTTGAGTCGCTAGGATTACAGGCATATCCTGCCATGCCTGGCTCTTTTCAGTCTTTTACTCAACAAATGACAGTGGATACTATGTGCCAAACACCAATAATGTTGATTAAATGTGAGTTAACATGGATATATTTGGGGACTTAAATAATGTATGTAAATTATTTTATGAAATGCCTAACACATTAATAAACAGTAGGTGCTCAAGAAGTCCACAGTATCTGAATCCATGTTTATTGCAGAGTAGTGATTAGTCTTACATTGAGCATCACAAAAAGAGAACATATTTAAATGAAAACAATGCCTGAGATTTAGGTTTCAGGAACACATGAAAGAAATCACTTGTTATTAATGGTTAAAGGAAAGAGGAGACACTACAATTGTCAACCTTATGTTTAAACAGGATGCCAGTAGATGTGTGAAATATTTTACTTCAAATCTAAATAACTAAAGGTCTACAGCCCCAGGGGCTCTGCAATTGGGAAAGAGACGCTCTGGCCTTGTTGCCATGGAGACCACCCCTTACAAAGAGAGCAGTGGGGAACTGGCCTCATACCTCCTGTGATTGGCCTTCCCTGTGGCAGAGGGAGGAGCTTTTGGGCCCACAAATTACTGAGCCACGGTTATCCCTTTTCCTATGAGCTCAAAAATGACTGAATTCATCATAAGTCTCCTGTGGCATGCCATCACCACTAAACATGTGGGAGCTGTAAGCCCACCTAAAAGAAGCAGCAGTCTCTGAGCCAGGACCTGGCTGGGCTCTGCCTAGCTAGGGCATTTGCAGATGCCCTATAGGGATCATTAGTGCTTTCAAAATCGCTGTAGCTACTTAACCTAAATAGGCTGAGACATGCTGCTATAATATTGTAAGTGACAGATTAAAATAGAACCCTTGCTGACTGATGAAAAAAGTGTGTTAATATAGTGCAGTCATTGTGTTTAACTATGATTGGTTTTAGTTTCTTTTTTTTTTTTTAAAATATTAGCTACTTTATGGTGACAGAAGTAAATTCCCTTCTGATTTTCTCTTTCAATTCCCTTACTCTCCTGGACCGTGACATACCAGTTTACAAAATTGCTTAATTACAAATTCTAAACAATTTCTGAATGCTTACAATCTTAAATGTTAAAGAGGAAAGGTCCATTAAACAGTATCCAATTCACTCCACCCTTACAGATGTGGAAATTAAGGCCAAGATAAAGCCAAGGTAACACAATTGCCATTGTGTTACCAGGAATAGAACTCATCTTCCAACCTGTGCTAAGAAAGTGAAGTGCTTTCAACTGGAGTACATTAACTCTGTCATTATTTTTAGGGCAGCTGGGACTTTCTGCATTGATGGCAATGCATTCAGTAAGGGACTGAAAACTGCCTGGAATTCTTACTGGGTGCTCTAATTGATAAATAAGTGACAAAATCAAGAAGACCAACAGGTTCCTGGAATGCAGAGTTGCAGCAAACTGAATCTACAGACCCTGGGTCACAGCAGGTACTCAGTAAACACATGTAGCGTGAACATGTGACTCTGATGTCTGGTGTTTATTCTGGCTGTGAGAACTGGGCTTTCCAGATGTGACATTTGACTTCTAGAGCATATCCATACTTATCATCTGGCAAACAACCATTCCAGAAACATTTCAACTTTATTCTTTGCAACCATGCTGAGGAAGACATGTGCAGCTCACCAAGACTGCAGGATACTCCAGGAGCTGTAGTTGGAGGGTTGAAGGAAGCCATCAAAGGCCTACTGAAAGACAGGTATGGTCCCAAACATTTGAAATCCCAGCAGGTTGACAGGCTGAGGCAAAAGGATTACCAGTTTGAGGCCAGCCTCAACAATTTAGTGAGGCCCAAAGCAACTAAGTGAGACCCTGTTTCAAAATAAAAATATAAAGACCTGGGGATATTTCTCAGTGGTTAAGCACTCCTGGGTTCAATCTCCAGTACAAAAAAAAAAAAACTAAACTAAAAAAAGGCTCACTGAATCTAGTACAGTACTTACTGAGTCTAGTACAGCTGTGCATGACTTAGAAACATACTACAGCTGGTGACAGGCTTGAGTACAGCAATCAGAATCAGGGCTCTTTCTTAAATGTGAGGTGTGTAAGATTTAGAACTCTTCAGGTTGCAGCCACAGATATCTACATGTTCTGCAAACTATGGAGACTGGTGAAGGAGTCACATCAGGCAAAGGACTATTGGAACCCACTCGTTTCAACCATCCAGGTCCACAGATCACTCTCCTCCTTTTCTCCTATAGTAGTTTCAAGGCAGACCTTTTTCATCCTCTCCTTGGGGCCACAGATAACTGCCTTGAAATTCCCAAGTTAATCTCAACTTCTAATAAGGATAAAGGTATCAATGGGAAAGACTAGCAGACAGACAGACAGACAGACACACGCACACACACACACACACACACACACACATATGAAAGTGAGAGAGAGACAAATGTTTCTGGAATAGTCAAAACATTTTCTCCATACTCTCACAAAATATGACAGAGCTATTTCAAAGTCCTGGTCAGATCATTTCATTCTAGTAGGAAAGCCACCTTTTTGGGTAAGAGAAGGTGGAGATAGAAACAGAGATATTCCTGATTCCAAAGACTTCATTCAAAAAGTTGCTTTGCTACAGTGTTAAATACGAGATCCTAATCTCTAAAAACATACCAACATAGTGAACCTCCCCACAGCTGTCACTCTTAATCTTTTAGAATGGTTATAGTATTCAACTTCTCTAGCTAATAACTGTGACATGGCTTACGTGCTGAACTCAGAAAGATAAATGGGTCCCACGATGTACATATTATCTGCTTTAGTAAAGATCTGTATATAAAACCATATTTTCCTCCTGGATTATATTACAAAAATAAGCATACATTTTCATGAGATTAAAACCAAGTTCTAAAAGAAACCAAATTAGGAATGCAAAAACTCTCTGAGAAATTCAGTGCATGTATGTTAGATGAAGAAACCAATGTATGAATGAAATGGAAGGGGGAAAATTCTATTAGTAACCACAATACTGCACAAAACTCCCTCCCAGTCTTCTAAAATAGGAATATTTGTCTTGAACATATAAGGGGTAAGCCATAGAAAGGAAGGCAAATATAAAAAGAACTCCTACCTTCACTTTCTTCCCAGGATGTAAGGAATGATCACAAATTTGTAGGAAATACAAATGAGCCTAGAAGACTGTGGTCCCATCCCCATCCTTTGCATCTGTTCTTGTGCTTGTGATCTCCAGCAGCTGTGTTTGCCTCTCTCGTTTGTGCTTTCTGTCTTCATTAGGTAGCTGTTTTATTGTTGTATCTTATTTTTAAGGATTTGGTTCTTGGCATTTTTTAGATTTCATTCTCCCTAGAATTATCACCCAACAAATTACCTTTCAATGACGTTGAATATCTCCAAGGGTTGTTCTTGGCCACAGGAATTTAATGTCTCCTAATATGCTTCCCCACTTTTCATTGTCCCTGCTCTCTTCCATACGCTGTTTTTAGTCCTAGATGATCATACCTAAGATTAGCATCTCTGTGTCCTTTATATAATGTAAATTGAATCACAGATATGCTAACAGTACAGTTGCACATTACCTAGTGGTTGGATTTTTATAATTTCAAAATCACAGCACACATGTAATGAAGAATTTTACTGAACATTTACTATGGGCCTACTGCATGCATTTCATCAGATACAACGAACGGCATGCTACAATTGGCATGTACTAACTCACAAAAGCCAATGTCAATTGAAAAACCTTAAACAAAATAAATTTAATAGTTTACTTGAGCAAAGAGTGATTCATGAATCGGGCAGTGCCTGGAACCAAAAGGCTTTGAGAGTCCTGCTGCAGTACCAGGAAGACACAAAGGAAGATAAAAAAAATATATATTTCACTGGTTAGAGTGAAAGACACTATTAGATGTTAGTGGATGGCTCTGATGGGAAAGTCCTCAATTTCATTTTACTGTTTTTGTTGGGCTTCAGTTTCCTTATGAGGGAACTTAAAAAGTTAGAGCAACCTAATCCAGTGGCCCCAAATTCACTTTTAACAACAACTGGGTACATCACTACCCAACTCCCACTTCACCAACTTCATGCTAATAGCTTAAAATCCATCATGGTCAGGGTAGTTACACTACAGAAATCAGAATGATACTAACAAGGTTTCGGGGTGTTTTTATAAGAGTCTCCATTGTTTAAATATTTATCAACACACCATTGGACACTATGTAATTATTTGACTAAAAACTCACCATTTTTGCAGTCCAGCTACCCAATTATTGCTAAGAACAAGCACTAAATGAAT